ACAAAACGATCAATCTTTCTCATTCCAAAGGGATCTGTTTTTGTGTAGTTTGAATCATTTTTGTCTAACATTAAGTCTTGTTTATGGATCCGATTTTTTTTGATTACATTACTACAATTTTTTTGGATTTTTGTCTACATTTATCAAGCTAATGTCTCGTCCAAGAACTTTTTAACAGAACTTTTTTTCTTTATATCATAAGGTAGCAAACCACCTGAGGTGGTCACCTAAAATCGCTGAAATAGCGAAGTGACTGTTGCCCATAGACATACGCAATTGCATATGCGTGGCCTACCTTTAATCGACGGAGGAGGATGCACAGAAAGAAAATATTTTCCGTTTCCATGCAACCTCTCATCCGGAAATTCCACTTCATGTTTCCATCCTTTCCTGATAAGAAAAAGAGGAAGGGAAAGAGGACTAAATTAGACCTCCGGAACGCCTTTCTTCTGCATGTCGTGGTCATTAAAGCTATCCCTTAGTGTTTATTTACGTTATAAAATTGACACTAAGGGTGCCTCTTATGCGACAGATATTATCATAATTAAAATAAGGTTACATCTTGGCATTTTATATTATGACCAATCACTAAAATCCTGTAATAAATTTTGACCAATCCCAGTAATTATTAACAAAGATTCGATCTTCTTTTATCATTTAGCGTGACCTTTTAATAAACGAATTACTCAAATTGGTATTATTCACGCGATCTACAAGATTTATTGGAGACTTTTTGGTTTATTAATAAAAGTTTATTAGAATTCATTGATATTAATTTATTATTTTTGAGGTAAATGAAGAATCACATCTAACCATTGATTTACAAAAAGTATAGAGTCTTTTGACTATGGGCGTAGTCACCCCTAACTTAGGGTAGGCTCCGAGACCCTCAGAGGTGTAGTTTTTTTATGCCTCTGTCCTCTGGTATAAGTAGGTCAGAGTTATTTTTAGCCGTAGTTTTAATTTATATTCTATATTATTATACTATAATTAATTCACAAAATATGTATGATTATTTTCGACTAGCACTTCCCCGCGACTTCGTCCGCGCGGTATTAAAAATCTAGTAACAAATGTAACCCGGGGATAGTATAACTTTTTATCAGTGAAAGAATTTTTTAAATCTTTCTTTTTTATAATACTAACTATCGCCCGCGACTCCGTCTGCGCACAATTAAAAAAATAACAATTAGTTGCCTGTGTGTTCTACCAGGCTGACTTACATCTATGCCAAATTTCATCGAGATCCGTTCAGCCGTTCCGGAGATACCTTCACACAAACATTCATCCATCCATCCATCTAAACATTCATATTTATAAGAAGTAAGATTACTATAGATTAGCTGAAATATTCCATACATTTTATAGAGCTTAATTATCAATTTAATAACAGAGTCATTAAAATTACACAATCAACCGCACTCAGAGTTGACAAGCCACTAAGAGAGTCAATACATATTAGTTCTTGTTTCAATTTAATAGACATATGTGTTGATGAGTTCTGTTCGCTGGTGAACTGGTACCAAACGTACTATAGATTTGACCTAGTTAACTCTAAACTGTTTTATCACAGTTTCACGTTTGGTAAACCGTAAACTTTGACATTTTAAAGTTAAACGCTTTCCAGTTGAATAAATTAGTTAATATAAAACTTTAAAATACATTGGGATTTTATTAAATTATACGAATCGAAAAAATAGTATGTAGAATGTTCGTTGCCATATTGTTTGTTTGTTATACTTAATAACAAAAATAACATTATAATTATATGATTGAGCAAGTTTTTATTTGCACCTATGATATTGCAACAAAAAATCCTGAAAAAAGAACCCAATTGAAGTCAAAGAATTGTAAAATTCAGACATCATTTTTACTAAACTAATATTATTTACGTTATTAAGTAAGATTTTACTTATATTATAAATGTGAATGTTTAGATGGATGGATGTTTGTTTGAAGGTATTTACGGAACGGCTGAACGAATCTCGATGAAATTTGGCATTAATATCGAACATAGTCTGGAAGAGAACATAGGCTACTAATGATGTTTTGTTAATTATGCGCGGGCGGAATCGCGGGCGACCGGCTAGTATTCATAGTAAAAGACGAACACTTCTGGCGTCAAGGTATTCTAGCTCTACCAGAAAGATGGGAAAAAGTTGTGTCTAGCGATGGGCAATACTTTGAATGATTCATTTGTAACCATTTTTTTATAATAAAGTTATATTTTTATCGAAAAAAAAGCGAGAACTTAGTTGCGCACCTAATATTATATACAATTGCTAATACATTGCTAAAGCCTCATTTGCATGTACTGTATTGGCTTAATGTTATTTCATAGTATGGTAGAGACATGGTTAATGAATCAGTATGCAATGCAGACATAGAGTAGGAAATAAAGCTAGTGCTGAATAAAATATGTCGGCTTAGACATTATAGAGCCATAACTTAGCAGAAGTAATATATTATTTAACATAGAAGATATGACATATAGTGTATTCGAGGTCCATAAATACATAAGTTTAAGACGTATTTTTATTTAACGTTATCTTTATTAAATATTAGCTATCCGTGTGCGGGAAGAAACCTCTTAATTAGTAGCCTATGTGTTCTTCCAGACTGTTATCTACATCTTTGCCAAATTTCATCAAGATCCGTTAAGCCGTTCCGGACATACCTTCACACTTCCATCCATCCATCTAAACATTTGCATTTATAACATTAGTAAGATATTAAAAACTGACAAAAGCGCCATCTGTTGTCTGCTAATGAGAGTAAAATCTAAATCATACTAGAATTAATATACATGCAAGTTATTTCTTGCAGTTTTAGATAAATAAAAGCTATTAACATTATTCCCTTTATTAAGCAATTTAGTTTCGTTTTTCTTTGTACAAACAAAAAAATGCTTTGTCCATAAAAATCCGTTGTCATCAAAGTTTTAACAATTATAAAACATGGACGCAGAACTAAGTTCTTCATAAAGTGTACTCCATTAAAAGTTGTTCGAGTTGAAAACAAAATGGTAACAATGTTGTATAAAATAAAATGCATATAAGTTACTTAACGAACTTCGTAGCAAAAATCGTAGCAGACAGCGTAGCAAATGGCGTAGCAATACAAAACCAGATAAACTACAAATATGTTGAATGCGATAAATGTAAAAAAATAGATCATATTTGACTTAACACAGCTTATTTTTTTTTTAAATACATTACTTACAAAATCTTACCGTAGAAATTATTAAGTTAAAAAAATATTTTTTTAATATCGTTTTAGTGGGACATAATTTAAAACCTTAGTAAAATTACTACGAAAGTATACGTTATTTACAGCATAAATAATTCCCTTCTACTATTTCCCGTCTTAAAGAACAATAATTCTAATGTCTTGAAGAGTTTCAATTGAGTCCACAACAATGTAGGTCAAAAAGCTCTTTCTACCGTTCAAGATCCACTCAACAAATGTAACAGACAATTGTATTCTTCCTTACCAAGGTTTAAGGAGCCACGATAGTCTTGTTCATGAATTAATTCGGCATTTAAAAGGTTATATATATTTACTTATATTACAGAGGGTTTTGATAACAGTGACACTTGTATTAAAACATAGTATGTCTCTATTTTTTCAAAGAGAATGTAAGAGATAACAATATGAATGAATGTAGTCACATTTCAGCAACGAACTCAATAACTATTCTAATCATAGCTAAGATACTCTTGGTTTAAATTCATAACTAATATAACAGCTAGTACTAATATTGTTGACCTTGAAACTGTATAATGATAATGAAACCTAAGCTGTACAGTTTTTACTGAATAGTCGATTTGTACAATTATCTTAGTTGTGTAGGTAAAACTGAGTACTGTACAGTTTAAGTGACCGTTAAAGTTTTGCCCACACAAGTAAGTTTAAACTGTACAGTAAAACTGTGCAGTTGAAAATGAAAGTAGCGAGTATTAGTGTTTGTTACAATTATATTTATTCACATAGCAATATTAAACAATGTATTATAATTTAAAAAAATATATAACAAGGGTTATAAAGCCCGCGGGCGGTATTAATATTATAACACAACCTTCAGTTCAAAGTAGGGTGCATACAATTTATAAATAAAAGTGGATTATAAAGGTAAAAAAATAAACTATTTTTGGACGTTGAAGATTAACAACCAGTGATAGTATTTATAAAAATCCTTTTTAAATAGTTGTTTAGGCCCCTAAATAAAAGACGATGTGCTATACAAAATGTTTTTGGCTAAGTCAACTAGATGGCGCTTATTTACATAATTAAATTAATATTTTTTTAAATTTAATGTTACCAAAATAATATATCTTAATTTTATTTCACTAAAACATATGTTTTAAATCTTGTAATAAATTCTATGTAGTAAATAAAAATTAAATATAAATATGAATATGAAACAGGATATTTCTTAGAAAAGTTTGACGAATTGTCACCCTATGTCTACACGGGTACAACGCTATAACGAAGCTCAAAGTATTTTTTATTCTCATTATATTATGTTTCTATTTAGCGTCGCGTGCTCAAATATTTTTATTGTTGTCGTAATCGTTTTATTTTCATTTTGCTCTACTGAAAAACAATGCGAATTAAATTGTATACAAGTTACTTTTAATAAAATTTTATTTGAACTGCTTCGCATCCTATTATTTTTTTCATATTTTATTAAATTTTTATTTAATGACTCGTTATTATTGTAATAATCATACAACTCTCTGAGCGTCAGTGGCTTAGGGTTTAAGCACTTGACTTGTAATCGACAGACGACGATCGACGTTCTTACGGTGAAGGAAAACATCGTGATGCTGCACATTTGCGAATAAATTCATATATATGTGTGAAGTCAACTCGCACTGGCCCAGCGTGGTTGACTATGGCCTAGTAACTGCTAACTTAGTGTAGGCTCCGAGCCCCTCAGTGGGGACTTATAGTGAGCTGATGATGATGAAATTAATATATATTTTTCTATGTTTCAGATAAACTTGCAGTATTTCAAAGCAACTATGTTATAGTGTTACTAACAATAAGTATATTGAGTAGATTTTTTGATACTTCTGTGGTATTTGTCATAAAAACTTTTGTGTAATAAAAATGGGTTGCAACACGAGTTCCGAATCGAAAACGAAAAAAGAGGAGCAAGCGCAGTCGCAGGATAATGAAACTAATAAAACTTCAGGTAAGTCTAATATTACTGTTTGATATTAATTTAACATTCTCTCTCTCTCCCTCCCTCTCTGCCTAGCTTGCGTGATTGTGGTAGGGTCAGGTAAATGTCAAAATGTATATGTCTAAAAAAAATTATAATTCATGAAAGTGATGTATTTGCGGTCATTTTAAAGAACCAATTTCTTTTGTTTGTTTATCTGTGTGTATCCGCGTTTGTCCCGATAATCTCCAGAACGGATGGACCATTTTTGATGTGACTTTGTCAGGAAGATAGCTGATTTAATAGGGTGTATTAGCAATTTTCTTTGCAATGACGAAGTCTCGGGCTACCGTTAATTTTCTCTTTATATTATTTGCAAGATTGTAGTTTAATTAAAAAATATATTATAAAAAAAGGAACATTTTGTCTGTTTATTTTGTCATTTTATGCGTTTTGTCAACAAGTTTACTTTTTGTACCCGAGAAAGTTCTTTATCGACGTCCATTTACTCGATTTAATCCAATATTCTAAGCATCTTCCTTCGCATCGTAACGATATTACCCTATTTTGATCTAAAAGGAAACAAATTTAATTCCCTTAACTTGAATATTTTATTACAGGAAATAGTGAAATTGAATAAAATTGATGTTTACATCTGACTAATATTATAAATGGGAGTGTTTGGATGGATGGATCGGCTGATAGGATCCCTCTGAATATTCTGAATAAAATAAATTTAGCATAAATGTAGATATTATTCTGAAAGAACACATAGGCTACTTTTTTTATTCCGCGCGGACGGAGTCGCGTGCAATAGCTAGTAATAAAATAAGGTTTAAAACAATACTACATCTATTTTTATACTAATGAGAGCAGTGTTGGAACAAGACCCTTATTTGCTTTAAATTATTGATTCCTTACTTTAATAGATCCAACAACCACGAAAGATGAGTAAAATGTAATTATCTAAAATTTCAAATAGATGGCGTTGATTTAAAATTATTATCTCACGGGCAATTCCAGAGAATTACGAGTTAAATTTATAGCAACATACATTATAAAATCACATATTCAAAAGTTCCGTGGCTAAACCATATTTTCTTTTCAAGGTATAACCGCAAAATTAATAACAATTTTCTCGTACAGGTTAATTCAGTGAACGTATAAAAGGAAAACTCTAGTCTGCTTTTCATTATACTGTTCGTTGCCTTGAGAATAATTCAACAGTTTGCGAAAAGTTATAAAACATAAAAAGGAACATAACATCTTATTTTATTTCTCTCGGGGTAAATAAGACGCGGTCGTTAATACGATAGGGGTCATACAGCTTTAACTGACGATAGTTAACCCGAGAAAGGTTTTAGATACAAAAATACTAGAGCTAAAGATAGAATTATATATAATATTTAATATATTTATTGAGTAAGCGCGTCCGCGAAATAATACCAATCCCACTCACCTGATGAAGGCCCCCCGAAATTAGTCGGTGCCATCACCGGAGGAATATAAGTGAGTGTTTACCCGTTTTTATATAAGTTTATTTGAATTAGCTGCTGTGCATGTAGTGTCTCGTAACCCGGTGCAAACGATCATACACAAAAGAGACGTCAAGTGGAACTTGTGAAGAAGCCAATGGTTAATTCTATTGTTCCCAGTTTTTTTTTACACTATCCTTTAAGTATATTGTGTCAATCTAATAGACATGTTTGTCGAGTACTTGTATAAGTCAGTATTCTTCACATTTATATGCCCTTATTGTACTTTACTTACTATGAGTTTCTGAAACCATAATCCCTTATTTTTTCTTTTTTGTATCTTAGTTTGACGTATGATGTATATTTCAAGAGATAAAAGTTTCAAGTGTAAGGTGAACGTAAAATTGGAATTGGATGGTCTTTTCCCGCGGTTTTATTGCGGATATAAAAACAACTGTAAATATAAAGGCCAGCGTAATTTTAGCCAAGAGTCCTCGGGGGAAAGTTTTTTTATACATTTTTAAATGGACCTGTATAAAAATATTTTGTTTTTGTAACATCTTTCAACTAAAATACACCACTTTTGTAATAATGTTAATAACATTTTCATATCTTCCTTAACACATCGAAACAAGGACCTTTAGAAAAAGAAATAGGTTGTCAGCGCCACCTAGTTTTAGTTTACTTCACTATATTTGGAAGATTTAGTTAAATGGTTGGATTTTAAAATATCAAGGTAATGCAGCAAATACATTCTATTCTTAGCATATTATTCTACGAAATAATAATTAGAATAATGATTGTAATTAAACAGTTTAAAACATAAAAAGTACTTAAAACAAAAACAGTAACTAATTAACAAACTATATAAAATTAAAAGCCTGTCTAAAAATGTTATAATGCAGTTATAAACAACAATTTTAACTACTTCCTATATCGTTTATGAGTCGTCTCACGTAGCGATATTAAATTAATTAGTATGCGCTATAGCGAGTTAACCACTTAGTGAAACTCTTTGGAAACAAGAAACAGTAACCGTATTATCGCATGTGGGGAGAAGCGAGCGTAAAACTTAATTATTTATGCCGTTGCGTTATGAATAAAACCTTTTTGCTTCCCTTTTGAAGTTAAATCTTTGTAAAATTATTTTAATGCATTAAATATTCCAACGAGTAAAGTTATTATTATAAAATTTTAAAGTAAGAATTTCGGATTTGATTCCACCCAGTCTGCTAAGCAGAATGTGCTTTGTTTTTTGTACATTGGTACATTTGCATAAGTCAAAAAAAGATGGCGCTGTTAACTGTTTCCTTAACGCCATCTAGCGATTCATTTTTAAATCTCTGAGAAATCCTATTTGAATGTCTCACTATAATGTTCGTTAGATGGCAGTGTTTGTTGAGATCTGTAAAAATTGGTTTCAACGACATCTAGGTACAATAGTGTGAAGTATACACCAAGTATGGGTTTTTTTTTTAATTTTTATGCCGTGAGTTTTTATGGCTGGATTATTCCGGTATAATTAATTTAATATAAATTTATAATATAGATAATATGTTTTATATAATGTTAAAGAACTTTTTGAATTAAGCAATAAGAAATTTTTCTACTATATGTCCTTTATATGACTAACATAAAAGCTACTACACTAATCCCACCTGTTCGGCTTCGGAATAAGTAAGTAAGCTATAAATAACTTACTTTCTGAATTTCGTCCCTGAAAATAAAATTCAGAATTCGTATAACGAAGAAAAATAAACCTTTATATTCTTAGAATCGTTACGAAGAAAAATATTTTACGTAGCGAGAAATATTTTTACAGATGCCAGTTACAGTTTTTATGTTTTATTAAATTTCTAGAGAAAAAGCAACTTTGAGAACGCAAAATTTATACTTTAAGATTTTTTTAAATAATTAATACTATTTAAACTATGTTCAGGTCAAGGTAATCTAACTAATATTATAAAAGACAATGTTTAGATGGATGAATGTTTGTTTAAAGATATCTCCAGAACGGCTGCATTGATCGCGCTGAAATTCGGCATAGCTGTAGAACATAGTCTGAAAGTAAACATAGGCTACATATTAAGTTGTTAAGACGGAGTCGCCGGCTCCAGCTAGTTACTCTATAACATACAAGCATACTTTTGAGATTTAAAAGGTTACTAGTTAATTAAAACGAAATATTTAGTCATGCCTTTCACTACGTCTACGCGATCTCTACGAAAATCGTAGAGTGCTACGAGATAATTTAAATGTATTTTTAATTTATGATGCTTCATTATTTATTTTAATAAAAATATAAGCAAGAGATCTTTTGAATTATACGTTTATTGCTTTTTAAATGTTTCATTCATTAAAAATATAGAAATATTAAAAAAAAACTTGGAGCGTTAGTAATTATAAGTAGACGAGCTTTTTGCTTCATTTGTTAACTTGTATAACAAAAGCTCTAACTTCCGCAATGCAAGTTCGGCGTTATTTTCTCGGAATGTAAATCAAAAGCTCTCCGGCGACAGTGTCAGTCGCAATGCACTTGACTCTACAAACTCCTTTGCAATGTTAATTCTACGTTGCTACGAATAGCAAATACTTCTGTTAAATTTATTTTATACTATTTACATGTAGCTATGTAACTAGCTGTAGCCCGCCACTCCATCCGTGCGTTATTAATAAAAAAAATAGTAGCCTATGTGTACTTCCAGATTACGTTCTAAATCTATGCCAGATTTCAGCGAGATCCATTGAGCCGTTCTGGAGATATCTACAAACAAAAATCCAAACATTCGCATTTATAATATTAGCAAGTTAGTAAGGAGGCGAATTGTTGCTGCGGTCATCTACCACAGATATACGAGACACAAAGTATTTCAAATAGAATATGAAATAAGTTCCATGTAATATATTTAATTAACACTTTGTTTTCTAAATCAATCCTTGTTATGTATGTGTAACAGTTATGGTAGCGTGGACCAGAAAAAGATAAATAAACAGTTTCCTAATACAAAATATATTACGTCTTTAGGATGCAAAAGTGACGCGTCTGTATACTATAGTGTACTAATATTATAAAGAGGAAACATTTGATAGTATTGAAAAGGCTCCGAAATTAATAAACCGATTTGAAAAATTCTTTCACTATTGGAAAGCTACCCAATCCACGGGCGATATATATTTTATTTAAAGTCCGCAAGGATAAAGCTTGTATCTTTTGTAAACAAAAGTATTGAAATACTAAAAAAAAAAAATTATGTGAGATGCAACATCATTGTTACGTTGCATTCAAAATTATATTACGTTGGCGCTTCTTCATAATAATTGACTCAGGAACTCTCGATGCGAGAAACAACGCACGCTTAGTTACACTCCACTCTGTCCACGAGACTATATTGGATCAAAAAGGGATGTTCCCATATCGATATATTATATATCGATAAATTTTATCATGTTTAATTTTTCTTTTGTTTTAATATTATCAAACATTTCTTTTGAAGTTGAGTTCTATCTTATATTGTCTATTTTTTTATATAAAAACTTTTATTTTATAAAAAATAT